AAGGTGGGGTGGCGTTGGTCCCTGCAGATGGGGCCCTGCTGGTTAACCCATGCCCCCTCCCGGCAGCGAGAGCCTGCCTTTGCCTCAGGAACCCCAGGTCTATGCGAGGCGTGTTCGACATGGCTGTCTCGAGGGCGTTCTCCTCGTCTAAGGATTGCAGGATTTAGAAGTCATACCACGAGTCTCTCCCCGAAGTCCCTACTTCGGCGTACGAAAGAACAAAAGCCTCCCTGGCCCCGAACTCCTCAACTTCAACAACACCCTCTACTTCCGCCTCTGTAGCCTGGTCGCGGTCTTCCTCCAAATTCTCCTCGACCTCTTGTTGCGCAGCCTAATCGAAGAGTTCAGACCACCGAGAAGGCTCGAAAGGCTGGGGGAGCTGTGGAAACTTTTTATATCCGGGAGTGTAGTTCAGAAGAATGTGAGCAGCCCGGTCGAACCCGTAGTCACCAACAAATCTCCAAACAGTGACGAGGTCGGTAAAGTTTACCAAGGACCGAAGTGGAGGAGCTGTTTCCAGAGCGGAGACGTCTACACAAAAAAAGAGAGGAGAGGGAGTTATGAACACTTCTAAAAAATTTCAAGAACAAAATAATAGACTTGAAGAAGCCGACATACTTGTCGTTCTCCATTCCAAAGGGCATAACAGACTGTTGTATTTAGGACCGACGCCCCTCTGCCAGGATCCCTTGAAGATTAGTAGGTCATCCTTGTACCCTTTGTCTAAGTCAGGAAGGTGAGTTACGAGGTACATTGATGAGTCCCTGGCTTTGAGGTAGAAGTTTTACTGAGGCATGACCCTCAAGAGGGAGTAGCAAAAGAGGATATCGTTCAACCTAACATTTATCCCGAGACGTTTGTTGAGCTCTAAGACTCTCATTATTATCCTGAAGACATTAAGGCAACACTGCCTGGGAAAGAGATGGAAATGGAAGAGGAATTGGAGGAGTAGAGGGGGCAGAGGGAACCTAATTTTGCTCTCTATGATGGTTTTGGTATAAAATGACATTTCATCCTCGATCCTGAAAGTACGGGAATGCGAAGCCGAGTTATAATCCTCTATGTCTACATATGGGGGGATGTGATACTGGACCCTAAACCTATTAATCTGCTCGCCCCCTTCACTTTGTACTTCCCTGGCCTCGAGGAACTAGCCTGAGGATTCTCAGGGACAGGGCGACGTCAAGGCATCTCAAAAAATGATGAAAAGTGAAGAAGAAGGGAGGGGTTTTCCCACGAAGATCCCCAAGGAGGCTTCCCAAGGGTTGGTCACAGAATGGTAACCAGAAACACCTCCGGTTATCGAAAAATCAAAAGAACATAAAAACAACGAGAATAATAAAAGAAGAGGCAGAAGGGCGAAGAGAGGGAAGATACAAGGACTCACCAGAATGTAAACGGAAGTTTTTTTTTCAAAACTTGAAGTGATTCCTTCCCCTAGGATGTTCAGAAGCAAGGATGAGTCTACTGGCCTTGAGACTCCGGTGAAAGATTGGGCAATAGACAACGAAAGGAAAGAGATCTCTGCCGAGGTTTCAGGCAAGGACTCTCTGAAGAAGTTCAAAATGGCAAAATGAGAGAGGGAGAGAGGAAGCTCATTTATATAGTACTCATCCCATCATTTGGGCACGAAACACGAAGAGGCGCATTTAATGTGCACGACCTACTAAGTAGGGGAAAGCGGCTAGAGTTAATGATGAAGTAGTTGGGGTAGTTGCAAAACCCTTCGTCTCTTTACGACGCGTGTCCTCGGTGTCAGGAGATCGAAGGCTGGGAGTCAATTGATGAGACATTTTCAAATACTCCAAGATGAAGACACGTGTCCTCGGCATCAGTATATTCTTGTTACTGTAATCACAACACGTACTCGTCGGTTCATAAGTCCCTCTTCCCCCGAGGTACTGTTCATAGGGATCAACGACATCCAGTATGTTACGTACCGATACGTATCCCTCGGTCGGATATGGGGTACATCGGTCCATACATGTACCATTCTCTCGGTACCGAGATGTATCCGTCTAGGTTGACATTTTCTGCTCCTGCAGAGGCTATTGATGTACAGGTCACTAGCCTAGGCTAGGCTAGGTTAGCCATCATGACCTCGTCTTACACAATTGATGTCAGAAGGCACAAGAAGGCAGAAGACACAACCAATGGGGAATGGGCACGTGGCATATTATGTCAGATCAGAAACAAAAAGACCGAGATGCCCTTGCTGACACACGACTTGGGAAAACAAGCATTTAGTGCACCATTCCCTTGATAAGATAGCATTTAATGCAGGAAGACTCGAAAGTGAAAGGTAATAAATGTCCTTATGACTCGGCATTTATTACTTCCTTGTCGAGAGAAGCTCATTAAACACTTGGCAGACCGATGACGAAGCATTGGTTGCTCGGGGTCCCGAGCAGTTAAGAGAGAAGACATTCTGCATAGGAATTAGTGTACACGTTGCCCGTATCTAATGATCACCTACTGACCACACTGACAGCAATCATGAGTTTTTTAGGTATAAATACTCCTCATAAAAGGCAAGATGGTATGCAACAAAAAACTTTTTCTCAAAGAGATACGCAGTATTTTCTCCTTCCCTTCTCTCAAAAAACTGACTTGATCGTCGGAGGGGATACGTCGGAGAACACTCCGGCGCCCTCCTAACTCATTTTTCTCTGTTCCATGAACCTCTCTTAACCTTACTGGATCGCTTCATTAATCCACGAAAGTCACCCATTACTGTTCCAGGCCACCACCGGACCTCACAGTCTGTTTTAAACAGCAAGGTTGATCATTCGATTGATTGACTCAAGTTTACCACAGAAGAAATCTGTTCTCTTGTACAAGATTCTGTACGCACAAAACTTATCCTAGATAACATCAAAGAAAAATGAAAAGGATAGATAGCCAACAGGAAAATGGGAGTCATCTTCAAAGCTTTAAGCATAGTAGAACTTTTGGGTAAATTACAATGACCTCTCCTGTTGTTTCTAACAGTTTCACTACATCTCTTCTTGTTTTAAAAACTGCACTGACACTCTTTGTCAGTGTAATCACTTAAATGACATGCAATGAAGTTGTAAAAAATTACAATCTTACCCTATGTTAGTTTTCTTTTTTCTTTTTGGCTTAAAATATCCTTTATATATACACCTCTAAAAAATCTATAACTATTCATTAACCCATCACAAAATTCACCTCACTCACACACATTAAACATATCAATTTCATAGTGTAAAAGGGTGTAAGAAGAGATCCAGAGACTTTTTTTCATCTATCTAAAGTTTTTTTTTTTTTTTTTACAAGAACTATCTGAAGTGTTGAAAAACAAGATTTTCACTCAACTTCTATGGCTTTGTCCATTTGGGTTGCACAAGTTATTTTGGAGCTAAGAAGAGCTTCAACATGAGAGATAAGAGCTGTAACTTCTTTTTAGAGATTTTTATGTGTTTGTAAATATTTGTCAAATTGATCTAATGTGTGGGGCCAAAATTAAAAAACTACCATAGTGATAATAGGTGTTATACAACTTGAGGGCAAAATAGGGAGTTTGTATCAATAAATTTGGTTGCACCATCAGATCTGCTAAGTAATACTATGTTTTTTTTTAACCCAAGTAATATTAGTTGAAGGGGAATCCTTACAATGTATACATCCCAAGGGATGTCAGTGTAATCACAAGAACAAAAAGGGGTGCTGTGAAAATATAAGAAACAACCAGTGGGTGATTGTAATTTATCCTAAACTTTTTGAACATGATGTTTTTTCTATAATAATTTACTCAAAGTAGAGACTTTAAGGAAGCATTCTTCATGCACACTTCGAAAGTAAAGCTCCAGCCAAATGATTTACCATGAAATTTTTTAGAGGGGTGCCATTTGATTCAGATTCTTTCCATTATATATTTATTATAAATTTTATTTAATTGTAGATTATTCTTCGTGTATAAATGAGGAGTCCATTGTCCACTTATAAATAGTGAGTTCTTTTTCAATTTAAGATTGATAATCTATCGTTGAGTAAAATTAAATAAAAAGGTAATAAACAAGATAAATTTGACATTATAGACATATATAAAAAAAGAACGAATAAATATCAAAATTAATTCTTAAATTATGTTTTTTATTTTAAAATTGTTCATCAACTTTCAATTATTTTAATTTAGTCAATGTATTTGTCATGTAGTCATCCACTTCATGTGCCTCCGTTTGGTCCAATGGCTAAAATTGACGGAAGAACTTAAATGATTTGAAATTTATAGTTAAGAAACTAACAATTAAAATTTTAGGAACTATTTTGAAACATTAAGTAAATTTTCAGGGCTAATTATAATATTTATTCAATAAAAAATAGTTTAAGTTATTTACAGATGACCCGTAGACAGGACATCCAATTATAAACCAATACTCTAACAGTTTTTTTTTTTGGGAAAAGTATCAATAAATCAACCCATTAAGTCCTACATTTCCTACTTTTGAAAAATTATTTTCATGAAGTTCTAAAGTCACTTGATAACATATTTTCTTTCAATTTTATCGTTCTTACGATACCATAAATTACATATTTACCTTTTATTTTTGATAACTAATTTTTTATAATTGCCAAGCGCCAAGACACCCACACCCACACCCACCTACAAATTTGGATCAATATGCATTTCCCACTTTCCAACGACGTTGTCTGATGTGGAATATATAGAGATATGGGCTAGTAGATGAGATGGATGTGTACCGCCAACAGCTCACTCCTCCTATCCCCCTGTAAAAGAACTCCAAAATAATATTTGATCCATATCTGTGAATCACATGTTCAGTATTCAATTGTTCCCTCTTTCTTGTCCTTTTCCTCCCTGGCCACTTCACTGTATAGTCTCCATAATTCAGTGACACCCATTTCAATTATATATATGTAGAGCCTTCTCTTCTCTGTTTGCTCTGTGTATGATTCTATCTGCTTGTAATTGAAATTTTGAAATTGTTACAACTGGTTTCTTCCAAGAGAGCAAGATGATTCGAAGAAGTGCCCATCTTCGCAGTTTGATTCGATATTTTGATGCGGGTTCTTCTGTATCAAAGGTTACCATCTACCAATCTGTTTTTATCTTCTTCTCGCATACTAAATTTTGTTCTGCATTCGGTAATCTGCTGAGCGCTGGTGTTTTGTTGATTCAATATAAGCCTATTCATATTTTCTTTAAAGGTGGGTAGAGTTTGCTTCTTTTCTTGGAACTTGGAAGGTTTATTCTACAGACTATGTAAAAGATTAGGGAATTCTGTTGCAAATTGAAAGGAAAAATAAAAACTAAATGAAATTACAAAGAAATTTTTGCATGTTGGTACCGACTCATGTTGTAATAACCTGTTGGTTAAAAGGGTGTAAAGGGCACTGGAGGTCTGTTGAATGAATGGATCCTATTGTCGTATCAAAAATCAATTTTTTGGTATTCTGTACCCACTTTTCATTGAATAAATCGTGACACGCGTAAAATTTTTTATTTTATTATTTCCATTACTTCATTACTTCTACCGCGATCAACTTCATTGTGGTACCCACATTTTTTCTGGCATCATAGACTTATCCCTGAGTGTTGATTTACGCTGAAACTTTGATAGCATTAATGGTTGGTTTGTATCAAGCTACTTGAATTTGTTATAAATAGCTATCCTGATTCCTATCAGACTGCTTGATCAAAAGATTCATTGAAGTTTTTTTGGTTCCCTTGTGTGGTTGAATTTTTTCTGTATTTTGGAGCTGTCACTTTCAATGGAATAATGCCATAAGAAGTTATTCGTGATTCTTTTGGTTTTTTATCTGGAGAAAATGACAGAACAGTTACCATCAATACTTTCTTGTGATTAAACTGCACCACAAAAATATTGCTGCTGCATAAACTTAGGGAAATAATTATTGATTTTTGGGCTCTGTTTAGTACTTCATTTTCCATCGTCTAGGTGGTCTGATGAAATTAGGATCTTGCAATTACAGTTGAATATTGCAATGACTAAAGTTTGTGTACTATTGTAGCTTGGAGCTTACAAATTTTCGTCTCGGGCTGCATCTTCTTTGCTGCAAGCCATTGAACCATCCACTGACAGGTACTGCATATTGGAAAAGATATACCAAAAGAGAAACAAAGAAAATTAAACCTCATATTAAAGCCCATGCTTTACAACATTATGGTAATGCTATATTTTTTAGATAGACAATTTCAACAATCAGCAAACTCAGTCTTTGAATGAATGATTCATATCATCGTGTGTATTTGCATGTTTCTTGCAATACAAAATGTTAAATATGATTCTAAATTGGTATGCTGATCAAACAAGTTTTGATAGTTCTCATGACTTCTCTTTTTCTCTCTGCTTTCTGCTTTTGTTGGGGTGATTAGTAGTGCCAATGATGACGAGAAAACTGCTATTGATTGGAATAATCTTGGATTTGGCCTTATGCCAACTGATTACATGTACACGATGAAATGCTTTAAAGATGAGAATTTCACACAAGGCCAACTTAGCCGATATGGGAACATTGAGTTGAGCCCTTCTGCGGGAGTCTTAAACTATGGACAGGTAAACTGCAGCTGATTTCTTGTTCAAGTCGTTATTGTTTATTTGAAAAATTTATCTGATCAGTCTGTTACAATTGTCAACAGGGCCTATTTGAAGGTACAAAAGCTTACAGAAGAGGAAATGGGCATCTCTTCCTATTCCGTCCAGATCAGAATGCAATTCGCATGCAGAATGGTGCCGAAAGAATGTGCATGCCCTCCCCCTCCATTGAGCAATTTGTTGATGCTGTAAAGCAGACCGCTCTAGCTAACAGACGCTGGGTAATATTCATTATTGAACAATGTGTGGGGTCTCTATCCTGCATTAGTTCTTCCAATGGTCAAAGTGATATTTTGCATTGCAATCTTCCACATGTTTGTGACATTTTATTTCAAATTTGAGCAGATTCCGCCTCCAGGGAAAGGGTCTCTTTATATTAGGCCTCTGCTAATGGGAAGTGGGCCTATACTTGGTTTGGCTCCAGCATCTGAGTACACATTCCTCATATATGCTTCCCCTGTTGGCATCTATTTCAAAGTCAGTTTCTTTTCCTCTATGTCCATCTTATTCTACATTCCGTTGTATCTTATTTTTGGTAGTATGACTTGGGTTCAGTTCTCATTAACAAAAAAGAAACATGGTTTCTCGATATACAGGAAGGTTTGGCACCCTTGAACTTATACATCGAGGATGAATTTCATCGCGCTTCTCGTGGTGGAGCTGGAGGCATCAAAAGCATAACCAATTATGCCCCGGTAAACAAATCCTTCTCACTTTTGGGTGTAAAAGGGGTTGCATAATTTCATTTGAATTTTACATTGCTTTTGAAACCATTGTCCTTGTGAACTGACGGTCAAATTTAATATATTGGGGAATCAGTGTTTCATAGACTCTTTGATATTGGATAGATATTTTAGATTAATCATGAGAGTAATTTAGTATTTATCTTTTTAAGTATTTTCTTTTAATTTTTAAGGATTTAGTTGTTATTTTGATTATTTATTTATTTTAGGGTTTGTGATCTCTTTATATATATAGGATTTGTGAACTCCTTATATATAAAGGGGATTTGAGTATTATTGATTATTGATATTGAATCTTTCTTCCTCAAATTCTCTCTCTGTTCTCACCTCTTCTTCTTTTCTTATCCCCTTCTTTTTTCCTTCTCATATCTAGTTCTTCCTTACTACGATCTACATCACTCATACAAGTAAAGGTGGCTATGTTGTAATATGTTCTCAGTATTATTGGCAGGGAGATGGCTTAAGAGTAAATTTCTAATTCACCTTTTATAGCTTATCAGGCTGTGCAATGTTGGAGGAATATTATGAAAGAATCAACACATTTTT